AGTGAAAGAGGTATTGGTGGGTCATTGTGAAGAAAAAGAGCAGCACGTACAGCTAAGGATAAGAGAACAGCTTAAGACGTTCATGAACTTAGAAGAAGCCTTGCAGATAATTGAATTGAAGGTGGTTTAATGGAGATAAAAGAGTTAGTGTCGGGGACGGGGGCGGGGGGTGGGGGGCCTGCCCTTAATATACAGGAATTAAGAGGTTGTTGGCTTGTTCAGAGGCAAAATCATTGTTTGTGAAGAAGACGGACAAAGACTTATCCTAGTAGCCAGCTACCTGCCATGACTGCCACCTTGGAAGTCATAAATATCTAATTAACTCCGACTGATACAGGCTAAAAGCCATTAAAACTGGGTCGTGCCTTGTACCCTACACACTTTGGTTTTAACACAAACATGCAAATCTTTTTCAACTCCTACACGACAAGTATTAACAAAATTTATTGTGTTGTACTGATTCCTAAAAGATTACCAATATATAATGTTGGCCACGAATTTGCAAAAACCCTACATGCGGGTAAATATATATATATATATATATATGTACATATACACATCGATCTTGATCTGGAACATCTTGTCTTTATAAGCGTTAGGTTCGTTCTCTACTAGTTTAGTTGTAGTTTTTGGTTGAAAATGTTCTGTCTACTTATTTAATAAAGTCTTTTATCCTTAAAAAAAATAAATATCTTGTGCTAATGTAACTAATTTGTCTTTAATTAGACTAATTACTATATATATATATATATATGTAGTAGTGAATTGATTACTTGGATTTTAACAAAAAAATTAATTACCCTAAAATTTTGGTACAGGCAAAAGGCGGTTTGCTGTAGCAATCTCTTATAACTAAAACTATGATATGAATGATTAAGTAAAAGTTATAATTAGCTAATTAATATTAATTATTATGCAGTAGCCATTGATTACACCTTTTGTGCAGATAATGATTGGCAGATGAGCTCTTAATCATCAGACGTTTCTTTATTAATAAATTTTGTGCATGGAAATAGTGTGCTCTATCATTATGTTTTTTATGCATGATAATAATTAATTAATTAATTAATTAAGCAAGATAATTAAGAACTATGATTGTGATTGTATAAACTAACCTTAACTACTCAGAATCTGTAATAAAATATATATGAAGTGGAGACAATAAGCCGTAAAACACGTAGGCATGCGGTAGGCGGTTGTCCATTAATTCTGGCAACTTGAAACATGGATTGTTTGGAAATTGCAGGCCCAGGAGTTGGGGTATCCGCATCAACCAGCCCTTTGCAACGACATATATTATCTCCGGTATCTCTCTACT